ACCCCCCCCTCACACCATCATCATCATCATCACCCCCACCTCCCCTCCCACCATCATCATCATCACCCCCCTCCCTCACCATCATCATCATCATCATCACCCCCCCTCCCCTCACACCATCATCATCATCATCACCCCCCTCCCTCACACCATCATCATCATCATCACCCCCCTCCCTCACACCATCATCATCATCATCACCCCCTCCCTCGCACCATCATCATCACCCCCCTCCCTCGCACCATCATCACCCCCCCCTCCCTCACCATCATCACCCCCCCCTCCCCTCACACCATCATCATCATCATCCACCCCCCCCCCTCACACACCATCATCATCATCATCATCATCCCCCCCTCCCTCACACCATCATCATCATCATCACCCCCCCTCCCTCCACTTTCCTCATCTCATCATCATCATCACCCCCCCTCACACCATCATCATCATCACCCCCCCCCTCCCCTCACACCATCATCATCATCATCACCCCCCCCTCCCCTCCCACCATCATCATCACCCCACTCCCTCCCTTTCATCATCATCACCCCCACTCCCTCGCGCCATCATCACCCCCCCCTCCCTCACACCATCATCATCCCATCACCCCCCCCTCCCTCACCATCATCATCATCACCCCCCCCCTCACACCATCATCATCATCATCATCGCCCCCCTCCCTCACCATCATCATCATCATCACCCCCCCTCCCCTCACACCATCATCATCATCACCCCCCCCTCCCTCACACCATCATCATCATCACCCCCTCACACCATCATCATCATCACCCCCTCCCTCACACCATCATCATCATCATCACCCCCCCCTCCCTCCACCATCATCATCATCTCATCCCCCCCCCTCCCTCACACCATCATCATCATCCACCCCCCCCCCTCCCTCACACCATCATCATCACCCCCTCCCTCCACACCATCATCATCACTTCCTCCCTCACACCATCATCATCACCCCCCCTCCCTCACACCATCATCATCACCCCCCCCCTCACACCATCATCATCATCATCACCCCCTCCCTCACACCATCATCATCATCACCCCCTCCCTAGAAGTATAGATCAGGATGTAGCAGTGGATGTAATCTACTTGGATTTTGCCAAGGTGTTTGATACAGTTCCTCACGAAGATTAGTGTTTAAGCTAAAAGAAATTGGTAGTAGATGAGAATGTGTTCTTGGGTAGAACATTGACTTAAAGATATAGTACAGAGTGTGGTCATTAATGGTAAATGTGAGTAAGAGGGAATTATGCCCCGTTTCCACTGAACAGTACGGTTCAGGTCGGTACGGTCTGGTACGATATTTTGAGTGTTTCCATTATGAATGTGGCCCATACAACTGAACCAAACCGCATCATTCCTGGACCCACTTCAGTTGTAGGTCCATAGGAAATGGTACGGTACAGTTAGGGCGGAGCTACTAGCGTCACACTATCCAATCCATTGATTGACAGACAGGAAAACGTCAATGCTCATGACAAATGACACGCTAGGCATTTGGTCTAAACCCCGCATGCCCCCTGGCGGTCCGACTTGCAGTGGAAACGCTCACCTGAATAGGCTGGACCATTCTAATCCTTCCGAACCGTACCAACCCCGAACCATACCACTCAGTGGAAACTCAAATGGCAGGTTAAATAAAATGTAGAAATATGCCAAGTTATGCACAAGCAAGTTGGCCACAAGTATATTTGTATAATGTATAAGGGCTTGACAAATTTGTTTGGAACCTAGGAGCCAGCTAAAAAAGTTAGGAGCCAGTCATTTTCAACAAGAAAATGCAATTCTTAATGGGACCACTAAAGTTTGATGTAGTTGTTGGTGTCTATAGCCTGTCCCTGCAGGCTTTTCAGTGTAAACACTGCCTTTTCTGTTTACATTGCTGCTTAGCAACACCTCAAGTGAGTCACTCAGACAGCCACTAGAGAGTCCTGGGTCACTGCTGCACCATGTGCAGCACCCACGTTCAGGGTCTCCAAGCTCTGCATGGAGGTGCTGAATGTTCCTCATTGAGATTCATTAATTTAATGTATCTCTATGAGGAGTTGCAGATTGGTACATTTGCTGTGCATGCAAAGGGAAAGCATTGGCTTAGCTGAGATCATAAAGATTGATAATCTCAGCCATGGAGGTAGTACTAGCCATGGCGAAACTGCACAGCGTGGGAAAATGAAAAAAATAAATAAGTGAGTAAAGACACTTTCCTCATGCAATCAGAAGGGGCAAGTACCTAAACGCTCACTCACTCACACTCACACTCTCCAGACAGGCTCACACACATACACTCTCCAGAAAGGCTCATACGCTCACAGACACACACAGACACACACACACACACACACACACACACACTCTCCAGACAGGCTCACTCACACTTTTGTTTTAATTGAACCCCCCCTCAGCCTCCCTACTATTGGGAGAGCTGAGTGAGTCTCTCCCCGGGGTCCAGTGGGGCTGCTCTCTTCCTGCGTGCGAGGGAGCAAGTACTCTGTCTGTAGCTGCTCTTTGCTCCCTGCGCGCTCTCTGTAAGGATGCCGGGGCCAGAGTGATGTCCTATTCCAGCTCCCGGCATCATTACACAGCGTGAGAGAGTTGCTACAGAGTACTGCTCCCTCGCGCGCCACCCACAATGCTCCCGCGGCGGCCGCCTCTAAGCTCCGCAGGGTGGCCGGCCGCCTCCAATATTCCCTGTGACCGCCACCGTCAAAGCTCCCTCAGCGGCCACACTAACTAGAGAGCTGGCAAATCCCAGGCGCCAGGGTGAAATTTCTAGTCGCCGTGGCGACCTGGGATTTGTCGAGCCCTGTGCTATCGTATCCCCTCGTAGGCACCGTTTTTCCAAACTAAAGAGATTTTAATTTGTTAACCTTTCCTCATTAAAAAAAAAGGAAAGGAGCATTTTAGTTATTTTGTAGCCTGCCTCTGCATGCCAGTCAGCCTCCTGGATAAGGATTGCCCTACTTATTGATGTGTCCCCCAAGCTGGGCTAATCTAATTACAGACGAGAGGGACATAGGAGGTAGGGTGTTGCATTAGTATAACATCCATGAGGCCAGCCTGTAAATGGATGGTGGATCATGGAGACGATGGAACATGGGAGAGGAGGTGAGCATTTAATGAACATCTTCATTAAGCAATAAGAGGTGTCATTTTTCACTATTAAGGATTCTTAAAGCAATTAACTGGTTAGAATAAGCATCTAGAGAGGATGTAAATATCTCTGGTGAGGATAGGGTGCATATTCTTGAGAAGTGTAGATGTGAGAAAAATTAGAATTCAAAGGTTAGTGTTATTTTTTAGCATTAAAGAGAGACACTATAGGCAACCAGACCACTTTGTCTCATTGAAGAGGTCTGGGTGCGGTGTCCCTGTCTGTCTCCATTAGTCCTGCAATGTAAAACATTGCAGTACTAAGACAAATTAAAGGGCCACTGTGCACTAGAACCATTTTCTTATTCATATTATTATAACCATTACAGTTTCTGGAGTCCCCTGGCACTGTCCCTCCATTCAGTGTTAAACCACTTTTAAACAGTTTAACACTAAATAAGGATCTCTGGCCATCCGAAGCCCAGCCCCAACCGGAGGCATAGCTAAAGCAAACATCACACACACTTCCTTCTATCCATACCAGCAACAGGTGCTTTGATTGACTGAAAGTGGTCAACGGACACTCTCCGCTAACGACAGCTGCCCAGTTCTACTCAGACTAAGGTTTTCTTATTAGCCCGAGCATCACAAAATGGATGAGCAGCTGGGTACTCTCCCTTAGAACTAAAACATTACAAACTTTTTAACACTGAATTATAGGATGTTGCCAGGAAACTCCAGATACTATAGCTACTTCAACATGCAAGCAAGCATCCAGTGGGGCATTATAACCCTTGGGCCCCCTGTTGGGGCATTCTAAAGGCAAACACCACTGCCACCTTACAGTAATGCCAACCCTGGGTGCTGCTGTTACCATGTGATAACCAATGAACCTTTTTTCATTACAGTTGAAATCTCACACAATGTTTGGGGCTCTACAACGTTATGCCAATGGGCCAGCCACCATACATCTAGACCACACTACAAGATAAGCGGAAATAGTGATAGTGGCATGGTGAGGGTGGGGTGCCAACCAAGCAGGAGATGTGAAGAGACTCATAAGCCAATGTAATAATAGAAAGGGACACAAAAAAAGAGGGCATGGAGAGAGATACACAAAGTGTGAAAGTGTGTTTAATGATTCCAGTAACATCATATCCTAATTAATGGCAATTATAGTTGACAGGAGCAAGACATTTATCTATGGTGCCATACAGAGGCTCCCAAACTGGGTCACATGACAAACTTCTACCCCTCCGTAGCTATAGAACTGCATTATGTTGTCCTTAAAAACATCAAATTACCTCTGCTGCAATTGTGTCCATTTTGAAAATTACGGGAAATTACAGATGTTTCCTAGAAAAATAAATAAAAAGGATTAAAGGTTAATAATCATAACATTTTTTTACTCTTGTAAGAATGCGGTTTACATTAATAGCCTTTATTCATTCCCAGAATGGGAAATTCGGATATTTTCGAGCCATGTTCACCTGTTTCCGGATATACCCATTTCCTACATGTACATTATTAAAGTATACCCCAGTCTCCTCCAGCTGTCTTTCACTTAGGGTGGGCTCACCTACTGTGGGATCCTGTTGTCCTAAGTCAGCTTGGATTCCAGTAGCTGTCAGAAGCTCCAGGTTTTAGTTCTAGAACAGCTTGGCTAGAGCTAAAATCTCACCTGGCCACGCCTCTTCCTAAATACTCCACGCTCTAACCCCGCCTATAACTCTATCTGACCATTCAACAAAAGGAAGCGGGAGGCGGTCTGCAGCCAGTGAATCAGTATTGTATCAGTGGGCGTGGCTTCATGACAGCATGTCTGAATATACACTGTTTTTTTTGCATTACCTCAATAACCTCATATGTGCATTTCTACGTATGTGGGTATTGGTGGTTCAGCGGTAGAACCTTCGCCTGCCGTATGGGAGGCACGGGTTCGATTACCGACCGGCCGATGCTTCACGATGTTTTTCTCTTTTAAATGGTTGATGTTAAATTTTAATCATATATTACATTTGTTTTCATAATTGACACTATAATAATTTGAAATGTCAAAGATTATGCGCTCTAGCTACTGCATATTAATATTCACGAAAATGAGACTCAATAAACATGGTACATATTACAATAAGTATCCCGGTTAGCTTTATTTTTAAGCCAATGTAAAGCAAATCCAGATATTATTTTCCACCTTTTTAAACAGGATTTATTATTTGATTTGACTAACCATTGGCCATAGAGTGCCCGGAACCCTTGTGCAGTAAAGCTGGTTTCCGTGAGGAAGGGGATTAATGATGCACAGTGGAGCGCAGACAGCATGGAAGTGTAAGTGCTGGGTATTTTTTTTTTTTTATTATTATTATTTATTTCTCCATGATGAGTACAGATAATAAAAGAGTTGGAAACCGGTATTGCTTTGTGTGTTACACGTCACCGATAATTAGCTAAGCTGAATCTTGCTGAACAAATAATTGTGTGGTTATACTGATACATTCAATGTCTTTATTATCGCATTACATCCCTTAAAATGTTTTAAAGATAGTTATATTCTCTAAACTACTGATTGCAGCGAATTAGAATCCAAACTGTGATATTTAGGCTAAAATAGTCAATCTGTTTTAGTACCTTTGTTAGAGATATTTTTCCAGATCATCTGTTTTAACCTCAGTTTGGACATTTAAAGGAACACTGCAATCACTGTAACCACTACAGTCTAAATGTTTGCTGACACTTTAACCCCTTAAGGACACATGACATGTGTGACATGTCATGATTCCCTTTTATTCCAGAAGTTTGGTCCTTAAGGGGTTAAAGGGACACTATAGGCACCCAGACAACTTCAGCTCATTGAGGTGGTCTGGGTGCTGTGTCCCTTTATTGCCGTTCCAGAGAACTGCAATGTTTACATTGCAGCTCTAAGTCTGCCCTCACTGGCTGTCTACCATACAGCCACTGGGGGCGCTTCCGGAATCTAAACAGACTTTTGGTTCGTTATCTGACGCTGGACGTCCTCACGCTCTGCATGGGGACCTCCAGCGTCAGATATTCCCCATATGAAGGTCTAATGAGGAGGTCTAATGCATTTGCAGCGCATTAGACCCCATTCGTCGTGGGACGGATGAGGGGGCGGAGTTTTGACCCAGCAGTGAGGGACATCGGTGCTGGGATCAGGTAAGTAAATAAAGGGGTTTTAACCCTTTATTTACTCGGTAGGACAGGCTGGAGGGAGGTGGGAGGAAAAGGGATCGGTAGTGCCAGGAATACAGCTTTGTATTTCTGGCACAACTTTTTACCTGGTGTCTGCCGGTTGCCACTCCTTGCCAGACACTTTCTGCACTGAGCTAAACACACAGTGCAGTACAGGGCATAACTAAGGAGAGGTAACAGAACAGCTCTTAGCCAAAGCTTCCAGTTCTCACCCATTGGACCCAATGTAAGATGTTAATCCATTGGCAATTTAATGCACTGCAAAATTCTAGTATTGTTTATTAAAACTAAACATTGGCTCAGAGTTATTTGAATACAGAATTGGACACATTTCTCTACTATGTTATAGACATAGTTTTAATCTATGCACACATTTTGTGATTTTGGCTTCCCGTAAGATTTAGGGATTAATTTAAAATTCTTGTGATTGCTTACAAATCTCTACATAACAGTGCTCCTACCCACCTTCAAGACTTCTCTAGGGCAAGACTCTCACACAGTCTTGGTTCCTTCAAAAGATAATTCAAAATCACCTTTTTAGGAAAGCATTTAAATTAAAATTTTAATAGATTTCCCTCCCCACAACTTGGTAACCCACCCTGCTTCCTGTCCTGCAACTCTGCCATCCAAAAAACTAACCCTTCACTATAAACTATTCTAGTAACCTACTTTCTCCCGTACATGAAATACATCTTACCCTACTCCTTGTACCTATTTACCCCACTCCTTCTATAATGTGCATCCAGCTCAACTTGTTGCAAATATTTGTCTGCTAGTCTACCTATTGTACAGCACTGCCGAATTTGGTGGCACTTTATAAATAATAATAATTAAGCCCTAATGTTTAGTGACTAAGCCTTTGTGGGCTTTATCCACTAAACTCCAATTTTTAGTGAGTTGAAATATAATTTGCAAAATGTGGGCTAAAATAAAACATTTAGAAACTTTTTCTAAATTACTTTCTGTCAAAACTTGGTTGTTTGTGTCTACTTTTTGGCACGTCATGTGATACAATTCAGACTTCAGTAGACAAAAGCCTGTGTGTATGTCATAGATGAATGTATTCAATGAGAATTACTTGTAGTTTTGTTAGGTAATTATTTCATGCTCAAATGTTTTATGTGCTCTGTTTTATTTTTCAGAAAAGATGCAAACGCTGCCCTTCTGAGTAACTACGAGGTAGGGACTGGTGTAAATCTATTATAATGGTTCTTTTTACAAGTAAGATTGTTTATTTGACAGGTATTGCATTTTTTTATATTTGTGTTTTTGTTTTCATCTCTTGTTCCCGCGGTGGTTATAGTGCTTGTAATATTTCTTTAAAGATTTTAGATTTTTCAAAAAAGTATGTTTGCAGATATGCCCCTGACCTGTCAATCAGTTCACAGCATAGAGTAGTATATCCACAAGTGAGTGACAGACGAGTGCCGGAGGGCCCTCCTACAATTGGTTCACTTGTTTTTCGGCCCATTGACTACAACATATGTTGTTCCCTCCACAAATTCGCAATCATGATGATGCTGGAGTGAAGCTTAGAATTTTCTTTAGCTCAGAATCAGTTTAAATGATCATCTATCTCCTTTAATAAAATATATATTTATTGCTTAAAGGACCACTAAAGTCACCCAGACTACTTCATCTCAATTAAGTGGACTGGGTGCAGTGGCTCTGTAGTTTTATCCTTGCAATGTAAAAATTGCAGTTTTGTTCAATGCTTACATTGCGGGGTTAAACAAACCTCTAGTGATTGTCTTCCTGAAAGTTACTGGAGGTGCTTCCTTTACAACAACCGAGTGAAACTCGGTCATGTGACCAACTGCAGCTCATAGAAAAGTTTTATTCTCTATGAGAAGCATTTGGACACTGACATGGTGCTTGCCTTGCATGAAGATCAGTCCATAATGCTCCTCTATGAGCAGTGGATAGGACCATTGGCTTGAGAGCTGGAAGGTACGTAAAAAACATCCTTCTAGCTTTTTACTACAATTATGTGTGTGCAATATATTTTTATGGTCAGGACAAATGCTGAAGGTATTCAATAAGGTTTGAGCTATAAAAGTAACTAGATATATAAGAATTAAAATGTTAAAGGGATTCTATAGGCACCCAGACCACTTCAGCTCATTGAAGTAGTCTGGGTGCAGTGTTTCAGGTCCCTTAACCTTACAAAGGTAATGTTTGCAGTTTTTAATAAACCTCTAGTGGCTGTCTACCAGACAGACACTAGAGGGACTTCAAGGTTGTTAGGTGTTAAACATTTGGATGTCCTCTATGCATGAGGACATCCAGCGTCATGAAAACTCCATAGGAAAGCATCATACATGGATGGGGCCACTGTAGGCAGGGAGCTATAGTGCCAGCAAAATAACTTTGTTGTGATGCTACTGACACAGATAGACAGACAGAATTACACTTATACAGATACACTAACACATAGGGGCACATATTGACACACATGCAGATACACAGGCACAGAAATACACATACAGACACACAGATACACACAGACAAACAAATGTACATTTTTAAGCCACCCTCCTGTTTCGTACCTTTTGTTACAGGAGAGTGGCTTCCCTGCAATCCAATCAGCTGACTGTGGATGTTGGGAGTCAGAGGCTCTCCCAGACTGCGCCCCCCTCCTCTCTGCCCCTCCCACGCAGCTCTGTGTTAACTGGGAGAAAGTTACTGACTGTAATCATTAAAGGGGCCTGGTCGCAGCTGTTAAAGGATTTGTTTTAAATGAGTTTTATTGCTGTTAAAGGATTTGTAGTGCTGATCGGGCCACTGAAGACACATTGCCTTCGGGAGGCCCTAAGTGCATGGGCAGTAGTTACGGGTTTGTTTTCCTGGCACTGGAGAGTCCCTTTAACAGTAAACCTTCCCATCACAAATTTAGATTTTAGTATCTTTTCCTAAAATCCACACATTTGCAAGTACAATGTAAACATTGTTTTGTATGTTGTTAATGTGACGAGACCAATCTCGCCACATTGCATTGGAGAAGCCTGGTTGCTCGCCTGCTGCCTTTGGACTATGGCCCCCTGTTAAAAGACATCTTTTTTACCTGCAGAAAAGCTTCAGTCGTGCTTTTCTGCCTGGGGTTCAGTAGATTTGTTTGAATGTGTTATACCCCAGATAGGAATCCCATGGAGCCCATTAGTATGAAACTGACTGTAAAGACTTTGGCTCCATGGCGATTAAACTGTATTTGTGTGGTCCGAGCGCCATTCACTTAATAATGTGCGCTCAGACCTGAGCTATCTGGGGATATGTTACATGTCTGTGTTTTATGTAATAAATGTGACTTTATGTATTTTAAAGTGTTTTGTGTCTTTTTGCAACCATGTGCTTTATGGAGTCTTGTGTCTATCCTGGGAGATAATTGAATTACTTATCTCCAAGATAGAAGACTCTGAAACTGGTTTGGGCCAGAAAGCCATGCTTCATTTAGTCACAAAGGACTTTTTACCAACTTTTGAACCCCTTGTCTGATTTGTGCCATTTTTGAATATGTTGTTCCCCTGAATGATTGTGCATATGTAATTTTATGTGAATGTGATGTATGGTTTTAGAGTTATGAAAGTTGGGTAGAAAGTATGTTTTAACTGTATGTATAATTGAGTTTCCTCTCAGGATAAGGGGAGGGAATATGTGGGATGTAACTGTGATGTGATTGGTTGTTTTATACCTCCCTGTGGGCGGTCCTGTATTTACAAGACTGTAATAAAAACCAGGCTGGGTGTGCCA